CCGAAAGGGACTCCAGGAGGAGTTACAACGAATTCAATATAATTCTCAACAACAGGTTACAAGCTATACAGGATCTACGGAGAGTAGAAGAATCTACTGTGGAAAACAATTGGAAAGGGATGAAAGAAGCATTTCTACAGTTAAAGAACATACGGAACTCAAAATAACTAACTGCAAGCCGACATTAAATTCACAATCTTCAATACAAACGTGAAGACAGTTCTACCATACAGAGATGAAACTTGGAGAACTAATACAACCACCATCAAGAATGTACAAGTATTTATAAACAGTTGTCTAAGCAAGATGCTCAATATCTGTTGGCTGGATGTTATCATCGAAGATCTACTGTGGGAGAGAATGAATCAGCTTCCAATTGAAGAGGAAATTAGGAAACGACGTTGGAGTTGGATAGGACGTACTCTGCGGAAATCATGAAACTGAATCATGAAGCAATCGCTAATTTGTAATCCTGAATGGAAACGGAAAAGAGGAAGATCAAGAAATATATTTTGTCGGGAATCGGGAGCAGATATCAAAGGAATAAATAACAGTCGGAAACAACTGGAAAGGATTGTCTAGGGCAGTGCGATGGGCAGCCAAAATTCCTCCACCACAGGTGTAATTAAGTAAATTTTTCAATAAATATAATTCTGATCCACTTGGTTATTCCTTTATTTATTTTGCTCTAAATTTTTAACATACAAACAAATGCCATAGATCCTTCCTATGTATAAATCTTCACCTGCTGTAAACCGACTAACGAGTTTTCCTTATGATGTGATAAATTGTATAAGATTTTGTTTATATCTAATTATTACAGAATTGTTTTAAATGACATTACTGAAGCCACATATAATGGTATTTCTGTGTTGATAGTACTACAAGGTTTGATTTTGAAATAACTTAATATATAAAGTAAAGGTTTTTCAAACTCATCAATAGATAATCTTGATTTCTCATGTCATATAATTTCCATTCTCTTGTCCCTCTCTTTCCAATCTGAACATCTTATCCTTTGTTGTCCAAAGATTAGTGCTGCCTTCACGAAGATTAACTGTGAAAAGACATTTAGCAAAGGTGGTTCAAGTACAAGGTTGTATGTTTTTGTAAAGGCAGAATTCAAGCATATAGACCAACAAATCTTTAGTGCGTTTTTTAGTGATATTTTGAATATACATTATTCTTAAATTCGTTTCATACAATAATTCTTTGATTAATCGCTGGTAAATGCTGTTTGTTATGTCCGGATGAAGAATAATGCGTGGTAACTGCCAGGATATATTTATGGACATTTATTGTATAGCCGTTAGTTAACTATGTCATATGTATATTGATATTCTTTTTATTATAAGCTTTTATTTGACTTATTGACGACTATTATACGATTTACTATTCTTACGTTATTCCCAATTTATTAGTTACAGTCTCTCACAATCACAGCCACTTTTTGACTTGATCATGTAAAATTGTTGATTTCTATTTTATGGTATGATGCTTCTGATTTGCTTGTATATGATCCAAGTACTTCTGAAATACATGATTCATATAACGGAGGCTGATATTGGTATTCTGGACTGAACGTGCTGGATTAGGCGAGAAACCATTATCTTGGAAGTCTAATAAGAACTCGGAGTGACTCTAGGCTGTTCGTACTGGTTTATGCGTCATCGGTCTAGTTAATAAGTCGGTGTTCTAATTGGCAATAAGTCACGTGATAATTAACAGGGCCAAAAGACATAACACTATTCAGTTAAAGTTTGTTCGAAATTTGACTATAAACCAATGTAAAAACAAATCTATAAAAGTCAATATATCGAGACATCGATTTCGATCTACATTTCGTTTGAAGAACCCTACACATTTTCTCGCTTGCATTAAGTTGTAATGTAAGAGCTGTAAATAGAAAATTATTTTAAGGCTAATCAAAGGGTAACTTCATTGCATATGCGTCATCTGTTGTTGAGTAGCAGTTCATAATAAAAATTCAGTTTCTCCTTATATAATGCATACACGGTCAGGTCAATTTAGTTCACGTCAATCGATGATTGATGACATCTAACAAGAATTTGACTGAAATCATGAACTGATTCAAGTTAGACTACCATTAAAATGGTTGCGCAACACTGTGTATTGGACATTAACACCTTGGGTGCCGATTCAGTGGTCTAGTGGTTGGACGATTACGTGCGAGGCTTAAGGTCATGGATTTAACACCGGCGTTCGGGTCCGTAGATGTGCACTTTTGAGGAATTCCACACTAGGACAAAACGACCGTCGAATGATTCCAACTTTTCAAAGGTGGTCTAGCTAAGATCTGTTGATGATATCAATGACACTGATAGTATATATTTTCATATCAAATGATTATCTAAGTAATATAAATTGCATGATGAAAATTGTAGATAAAAGTGATAGAATACTGATTTCATCCAAACTCAAATAATCATAATTATAATTATCGGAATTATAGTTTTTCATTATTTTCATAGAATTATATCTCAATAAACTTGTGTTGTCAAAAAATCAGTACGTCGAAGACTAATTAATACATAAATATAAACCATGGAAATTGTTGTATATTTAGTTATACACAGAATGATCAACGTGTACTATTTTCATCTAAGAATACAAATAATAGAAAACTCATCAAAAGATGAAACGTTATTAGTTTTACCGTTTACATATTAAATAACACCGTAATTTAAAAGTCAAATATCCGAACGAAGAAATAGATAGCAGCTTTTTAAAAAAAAAAGAGAATAACCACTAGTCCCTAAACTTAACAGAATTTTGACTAATAAATAAAACAAGATTAATTACAACTGATATTTCGATTTATGTAAGAGGACAAATCATCTTGTTATTGATGGTGAAATAAATAATTATTCACTTCAATAAATATCACATTATGAGTAAATGTTACGTAAATGTGTTTCACAAGTATTCAGGAAGATCATCTGATGAAGAATGTCTCGACCTGTATTGATTGCTATTAGTATGAACTCTCTTTTGTTCTGTTTTGATTAATGAATTTTTGTAAATCAATGTATGCTGTACTAATTCGGGCATTAATTTCGCGAATTCATGCTGGTACAAAATATGATGTTTTATTTCAGTTTATTCATATGTGCTTAGCAGTAGCATCTAGAATGCGTATTTCAACCCATTTGAAACTTATTAGGTATATGTAACTTTATTTCGATTTCGACGAGCTCACTTAAATTCGAACTCGGTACCTTATGCTTCGAATTCTCAACGCGTTATCCACCGTATCCAGATATCTTATCTTAAATGAAATACAGGATTCTATTAATACTCACTGTTGTTTCTGATAACTGAAGTTTTATCACTTGGATATACTTTTCTCGCAGTACTAGTGGATTCTTGGGTGTCATACATTATACCGCTACTTCAATGTGTCCTACTGAGTGCAGAAGTTCTGTTGATGTAATTTTAGAAATCCAAAATAGTATGAATATTTCATGTTTAACTGGGATCACAATTTTTAATTACTGGAAATCATGACCTACAATTAAAAGCTTACTGTTATGTATGTTAAATTCAAGGGCCCTTGATCCTTTTCATTTTGAAAAGTTGTTGGCAAGTTTCACTGAGAAATAGTACAAGTGGAAACAACTGTCAAATGTTCACTTATCGAAAATTCATGTTTAGCTATTATTCAATCTGCAGTTAAATTTATTAGGAACTTTTAACCTAAGATGTTATATGATAACTGATTGTTGAAACTGTCAGATTATATCCACATCACCCTTGCGTCGTTGCAATTTGTTATTGATTGTTCTCGTCATTAAAAGTGTGTTCCATGTTCAATAAATCGCCAACTAACATTTTTATTTCTCATCTATTGCATATACTCAAGCATGCATCTCTCTTCACACTCCTCCAGCAAATGGGTATCTCCAGGATAGAAGCAAACCTTCTAATGGATGAATGATAAGAACGGTTAGATTATTTCATTTCATGACTTCAATTACACCACGTGCCTTTGTGGGTATTATGATGATGAATCCTGTAACATTGATTCCATTTTGGTCAAATCCTAACTGGTATTATTAAATCCTTGGATTTCAATTGTCTGTATTGATCATCATTAGGCAATAGTTCTTTGAAAACAAGTTTCATTAGTCACTTATTTTGTAAATTACAATCAGCTCCCATTTCTATTGAAACACGAAAGCTTAAAAATTTACTTTGTATTTTAGTAAGTTCGAAGCATATTTTCCAATTTTATTTTATATAAACAACTAAATACATAGAATTTTCACTTCAATAATATTACTTGCTGAAATCATACCATCATATTTAGAGTGATTTAAACAAATAATGTGGTGGCCTTTTGAACGATAGAAAACATTATATCAGTGTTCGGAAATCACTTTAAATAGGATTGTGCGACTTCAGGAACTATCACACCAAAAAGAAAATTTATTCCACCGAACTATATTTATGAGATATGGTATAATTGGTTTCTTCTCTAACCCACTTTTATTTCACATACTCTGTTATTAACCATTTCAATCTTTTTATCCGTATTAGGATGGTTTCACTCAAAAGTACATTATTGTGGCGTATCGTATACCAGTCATTTCTAGTTAAATTTTCATCATACCTGTTTCAATTTCGTACATAGATAAGTAAAAACAAAAAACATGTTTTCTTAAGATGCATGTGGATGATACCTCCCAATGAACGCAAAGCACGACAAAATATCAGTTCTCTAAAATATGAGATTTAAGCACATATTTATCTGAACAGGATTAAGGATAGAACAAAAAATATTTGTACAAACTGTTGTAGCAAAGAATAATGAACGTCTTAATTGATAGTACATATTTCCAAATAGTCTGGTGAAATTTTTATTACAAAAACGAAACAGAAAAAGATAAACGTTTAATTCTTACATTAAGAAAATTTCGAAAAATTGGCGAAAACAAATTGTGGCTCTAAAAGACCAATCACAATATAGTTTTTCAGGCTCAACATACACGGAGCGCAGGGCAACGACGGTTATCTACTTTCTATAAGTAAAAAAGAAGTCAGTTAAACATAATAAAATACAAATTGAGCTTCAGAAACAAAAATGTCCTAGATACACCGTAAAAAATCGTAACGCTGTTTCAAAATCTCAGACCGATTAATTTTTGGTATGATGAATTCGAAGAAAATATGTATACAATGAATTTAAATCCAAAAATTATGAGTTAATAATCTAGGTGCTTAAGTCGGTGTAAGAGAATGTGGCAGCGAAAACACCGGAAAGAACACAATATAATATTGATCGGGACCTATTTCTTTACTAACTTTAGACTACGATCGATTGTCTTCTCGACACAAACAGACCACTTAAGTTAGGAGGTACATGGACCACAGTTTAACAAATAATCAACAGTATGAGTGACCTTATTGACTATATATTCTATATTAACTTCTGATTATTTTCAGATGATTTCTATTCCAATTTAATTATTCAGTAGTAGACGAAATATTTGTTTCAAGATGGCCAATCAGATGAATTTTAATTTATGCTGAGTAAATGAAGTAGCCGAATTCGTAAGATTCAATATACTATAGTAATAATACACCTCTGGTTGTTGGTGTTCATTAAGGGCCTACAATGTTTAGGGATCTAGGGACAAAACGATTAAGATACTCGACTACGATAAGTTATCGTCAAAATCGACAACGGCTATTTACACAAGACACATCAAACCCTGTTGGTTAACAAGAAAATAGAACAGATTGCAGGGAACTTGATATTCAAAGTTAAACAAGCAACAGAAAACGAGTTAGTACAACTGTTGTATTAAGTACACAAAAACCTAGCGAACTAAGCGCAATGTCAACCAAAAAGCAAAGGTCTTGCGGGAAAATGCGCAAGCCCCCAAATGCCCTGGTACGACCGAGAGTGGGGAGAGTCCGCTCTCCCTCTCGAAATGCTCTCACATGGCCATGCGTATATAGCCTCTGCCAGAGAAGTCCTACTCACTGCCTTCTCGTGGCGGGGGTGTTGTTTACGAAAATGAGAGGACGAAAAGCGAATGTCTGGCGCTTTAACCGGACCCCAAACCAATGGTGCACATGGGCTCCAGTATCCTGCGGGAACAAATGGCGTATGAACCAATCGTTGGTCACCGGCTACCATGGGACTGCATCTCCTTACGATGCTCCACTGCCTTGTGGGTCAGACGTTCAGGTCAAAGGCTCGGGGTGTGGCCCCCTAAGAAAACCACCTGCTTCGGTTTGGGCACCCGGGCAGTATCACAGCCCTCACACAAATCAATTGAGATTTGTGTGGCGCATATGTATTTGGTGCCTCCCTGTACCTATACTTATGTGTTAAAATAAAATAAATAAAAATCCTGAAGAATTCTTGGCATTTCTAATGGAATTTGATTAAACGTGTGATTGCCTTAGCACCAATCAATATCAGCGAAAAATGCACTAATTAATTTGCAGTCTTTCACATGGAAATGTATTTAAAAACTACGTGATAAGACATGCACACGAATAGCCGAGAAGTCAAGATCGATGAGATAGCTTTCGTACTAGATGTCAGTCAACAAATTTTGAAGTGTCCAACTAAAAAAAAGGTTAGGGAGTCTATTTCATTAACAAAAAATCAACTGTTCTGTAGTCAATGCACTAAAAATGGCTTTCTTAAACAAACTACTACATTTCAAAGTTACACAATCAACTGAAGATAAAAGATAATAAAGACATTGAGAATTTGCAGATCAGACAATCTAATAGTATAATGATGTGTCAATACACTGGTTTATTATAATCCACTTGATCATCATTGTACATGCTAGAATCAAAAAGAAACAGAATTATAAAATTTGTTTGTACGAATGCGATTCCTAATCATAACTTTACTTACTGAAACTAATAAATTCCTATTAACTAGTTGTCAACCTAAATGGAAACATGATGTAATGACTTCTGAGCTATTGCTTTGCAAGAAAACATCTAATGATACTGGATAAAACCTTATCAAGTTAACTAACTTTTTGTTGTTTTTTACGACCATTAGTTGTCTCATTTGTCGTGTTAATCATTGATGATTTCAAAGGTTTTTCGGACGAGTTTTGTACACTAGACATGTCACCGAATGGTTGCTCAACGTCTGTAACATAAAACCCGTGTTGCACAAGTTGCTGATTATTATCTTGATTTGGTTGCATGTTATTAGGATATGACATAATTGGACTGGATGGATGAGGACTGAGTGATGATAAAATATCGGATTGGGAAAATATGAGTTTATTTGACAAAGCACCAGATGGCTGCTGTTGCTGCTGCTCTAAAGATGTGGGATTTATATTGAAAGATCTAGAAGATGAAGCACCATTCATTTTTGTTTGTAACTCAATGGTCATTTGGCCACGACTAATATCAGAATCATTAGAAGTACAAGGACTTGCGGAAGATGATGTTAATCTTAGTGAAGTCAGTTTGGGAGGTCCAGAAAACAAATGAGGGAATTCATGCTCACAAAATAAATTGCCATCCATAAAACATACTTTATCACCGGGGTGCAACGGAGAATGACAGTGAGTACAACAAAAACAGTTCACATGATAGACTTTATCTTGACATCTCATCACCAATTCATCTGGAGGAATTTGAACTCGACATTTGGCGCAAGTTCCTGATAGACCAAACAGTCTACAAAAACAAAAGGGAAACATTCAGAAATATTGCAACAATGATTCGAGTGCTCTAGCTACTATATGAAGTTTTCATCTGTTTTACGAACTATCCTTTAACTATTTGGTCGTCTCGAACCATACGTTTCGGTTTAGGAAAGTAATCATTAGCTTTGGTACTCGGTAGTCTAGTGGTAGTCTATTACATAACTGGTCAGGTGAATTAGAAATTATTTTTAACCATTATATTTTTCAACAGACTTAAAATTTATGTACAACTGGAGTAGAAACTAAATACGTATACATAACGAGCAAAAAGAACGCATTGAAACTAGAGAACAAAAGTTATTAGAATAGCAAATTGATGTCGAGGACTAATTGAAATTTATTGCGATCCCTCCCTCTAAATAAAACTCGATCTTAACAAGGGAAATCTGCCAGTTCATTGAAAAGGTAAATTCCAAATAAAAAATATGGCTAACGAAAGCTTCAAACTTTTTAGTCAAACAAGTGTTTAGTGGGTAAAATCAGTGTTATAAATGACAATTAACTGACAATCACATTATGTCTATACTATCAAGTACATACGGACAAATAAACTTGTATGTATAGAAAACAAATAAGTAATTTACGTATAAATTAAGTTTAAATGAGTTTTCTAAAAGTTAATTAGCTAGTAGACTATGATTACTATTTGTGATGAGTTTATTTGTTTACTGGCATCTACCTTGTTTTGCTCTACCACCTACTATATTCATTTTTCCAATAAATGGTTAAGTAAAAAAAGAAAAATAACTCTAATTTTAGGCACCATTATTTTTTGCATAAGAAATATTACTTTCGTCCTATCACTTACCTTTTTTCTGCTATTTCTCTAACTTGGTTTTTGTCTAGTGGTAACACACATGACAAAAAGAATAAATCAAAAACAAACGAGATGAGGAAGTGACAAGACCAGGGAAAAGGGGGAATACAATGAAATGAAGTGATACTGAGGGAATGTATATATATATATATATATATATATATATATATATATATATATATATATATATATATATATATATTGCGATACCATAGCAGAGAAGAGTTGGAATAGCATTATATATCAACTAGGATTAGACGCTTCTTAATTAACGTAACTACAAAAGTATGTCACTTACACATTAACAAAGTGTAACTACCTAAGCATGTTTATATGTGCACAAGACTATATACGGCATACGTACATAGAAGCAACCATGCGAGAAGCTAATTAAGAAAGGATAATTAATAGGCTAAACTTGTTCATTAGAAAATAAGAGAAAACTAATTTACAAGAAGAATATGTCAGACCAAAACAGAGTATATAGTTAATCCGATCGTTTTATACAAAATTTAACAAACGAGTATGAAATGACTTTTTAAAAATAACCTTGCAGTTATTTAATAGAGCTGAGCTTCAAATATGATGGGATACATCTAGATGAAATAAGTGTGCACAACTTAGAGGTCTATAAAGACCATCGAGTAACCACAAAGCGCCTCCAAATATGACTCGATGATGAAATTATCCGGTAGTATAATACGGAGATGAAACAATAGAGGCTGTTTAATTTTAAGATAGGTTAAAACGAAATAAAATCGAACTATAAACTTAGATTTGAACTTATAATACACGGATTTGATTAATTTCTACTACCACGTGTGCTGTCTATCTACGTATACTAAGTGAAAGTTGGAGAAATGTGAGAATAGACAAGAAAATGTTACCCAATAGAGACGATTCTGAGCCGCACTTTTAAATTTTAGTAGTCAGCAGTGGTAAGTCAGAATCACATAAAACAATTGTGTACTCGAATGAGCCATATTGCTTTCCCGATGATTGATAATATCAGGCACTCAATACCGTGATTTATAAGATTCATCTATTTTTATTATTTATTTGAACCGAATACATATGCGCCACACAAGTAACTTGATTTATGTGTGGGCTATGATACTGCTTGGGTGCGCAGACAGAAGTAGGAAGATTGGATGGTTGAACAGTTATTTTGTGGAAATTAGTTAATAATCCTTAGAAATGGTGCGAGACAGTGAATGAAAACATCATTCAAGGTTATCGTCTACTACCACCAATGTCAAACAGAAAAGAAACTTGATTATAAAATCGTAAGTCCGGAACTAAACAAAAGCAATAAATGGCTTTACAAGTAATTGAATATTCCAAATTGAAAAACGCTAAGAAAACATTACTAAATTCACTACAAATCAGAGTACTTAGCCAGATACGATAAGCGAGCCCCTAATTGCAAGTTTTACCGTATTTCTGATTTTTAACTGTAGAACCTGATGAGAACTTACTGGAAAAAATCCTTCGTTCATCAGTTTTCCGATATGAAAAAAAATTTGTTTATTTCCACTTAGCAAATGAGAAATAGTAAGATACAAGAATAAGATGAAACGATTGACATTCAACTCTAAACGACAGAGACGTAAGTAGAAAATAAATTGAATCTAGTCAGTCAGTTATAACGTAGGACAAGGTACATATGCATCGGTCCAAGTAGCCACACCTCATCAACACAACAAGATAAACATCAAATTCATGGAAATAGTTACTTAAATAATAGTAATATATAAAAAAAGATTACATATAAGGATATAGTACAGGAAGAACGAATTAGTTCGTAGAAAGAAAGATATAAAGCAATTTTAATCTCACAAATTAAAGGAAGACAAGGAGTTTATACAACGATGCCATTGTGATCGATTCTGAGCCATGTCACCCAATTTCCAACTATTCGTTACGATAGTCACGCGGACTCCAACCAAGTAGTCTGCATCTACCAACATAGCTCAAACTAGGAGCACTGATGCCACGTTTTAATTGAGCCGCCCCTAACTCTCTTCCAACCGTCTCCAACACTGGTCAGCATTGCGTGTCGTGGTAATCGGTGTTCAGGCACACGTGACACGTAGCCCAACCATCGCAGTCGATGAAGATTTACAACCTTATTAAGTGCTTAACCATCATCCCCTAATATCCTCCATCTAACCACACTACCACTTACCCGGTGATACCAGAAAATGCGAGGAATATTTTTAAGACATGTGATCAAATACTAGTAGCTTACTAGTATCTTTTACTTTTAATACCCACGTTTTGCAGCTGCAAAATAGGACAACGAACTGCGGCACAGTATAATCGTCGCTTAATTGATAGACAGATCTAAAAGTTTAACCAATATGTAGAATCGAAGATAGTTACGCAAAGTATGCAGAAACTGGTAATATAACTACAATAACAAGAAAACTAGGAATAAAGTAGCGATTCGAAGTGATATATTCAGTAGAAAGAAATAACGACGATACTTCCAAGTGGCTTAGTGATTAAGTCAACAGACATTCAACCGACAGGCTTTTGATTAGAACATCACGTAATATTTGAATTGGAGTTGTGATTTCATTAACCATTACAAGATGTTGCTTGAAGATGAAATGAATATATGACACTAGAAGTAATACATTGAACAGTCAACCAAATCGAATAACTTACTGTCATTGAAAAGTGATATAAATCTATGTCTTTTCGTCAAAAAATGTGAAATAATTAGATTTGAGAGTTTACTAACTCATCGACTGTGTACTTATGATGTTTAATGGTGGTATTTTACAGAGGAAAAGAGCAAAGTAACATGAAGTTAAAACAAGTTAGGACGAATCAAAACATACGACTTGTATGTAGGATAACACAATGTTTTAAACCCACAGGAAGAATGCATTTGCTTCATTGTGACCAGATTACTAGTTACTATTATTAACTCACCAACCAGCTACACCTGTGTTCTTGACTCTTGGCCAGTGTATGTGTGAAACCTAGTATTGCTACTCTTTTGATCAAACCGAAGTATAGAGGGGTTCGAATTCGACTGAAAAGCGAACGATTTGCCAGTCACTGCTTCGTCATATTCACGGTATTAATATTACTCAAAGGCTGAGTGAAGAATTGGTCTCCATGAAATCACTAAGTATAATCTGGAGCTAAGCCAGATGGTTCAATATTCGTTACAAATTATTGTGTAAAACTTAGTTACTATATCATACTCCAACAAAACGGATACAAAAAATAACGATGTATAGGTAAAATAGTTAGTCTTAATAACCTAGATGATAAATAAACTAATAGGGATGAATAACTTACTTGAGGTAATCTTGTCGACATAACAGCATGTTTGAGCGAACGAAAACGGAAGGTCCTAATTCATCAAGCCGTAGACCACAACAAGAACAATTCAAACAGGAAGTGTGCCAAAACCGATCGATTGCATTTAACAGAGTTTTCTCTACTATGGGACCACCGCATCCAGCACATGATATAGACATTACTTAATCCGAGAAAAATTTCACATGGACACTACATGTATCGAAGATATCAGGAATAATTCCGGAATAGACTTAGTTGAAACGCGCCCGACTAAACAAGCCTATAATCAGTAACGATATGTCAATACTAGCCTAGGCATGAACAATGTCAGCGTGAAATTCATGCTATGAACATTATATGTGTCTACTCTCATTCTGATTGGTCAGTTGAGCTTGTCATATTACGCTCAGTTGTTAGCTGACATCCAATAGAGGTGACGAATTCACATGTTATAACCTTGACCCATAGACTACATGACCATAAAAGTTGAGGACAGGTAGATTGTCTATGCACATACAATGTGTATATGCATCTGGATTCAATGCTTTAAATCAAAGGACATTTACACCATACATTCGGACAATAAATAAACCATTTGCATATGGAGTTATTAACATTGCATGAGTCACTTCAATGACAATGTTGTGCTCGATCTGCATTTTTCTACGCCATTTAATTATCCGTAATTAGTTGGCGATCTTGTAAAATTGAAGAAGTCATTATACCTACTGGAGCTAATCATATCATTTTCAGAATGAAATTTTGTTTTGAAAAGAGTATCCTTATCATTTTGGCATCTCAGCATATTTGCATTTTGCAATGAGATCACTGCCTTTATACTTCTAGCTGTTTCATAGAGGTCTGTTAAAGGACAGCCAGCAACGAAGACCAGAAAAACGGTAATTTTATAATAAAGATGCAATTGATCGAATCATCCATGGTACATGGGCCGTCTGTTAATAGTCGTAAATATATTCGTATGGAAATGTAGGCTTCAGGTCATATGATCACTACTCTGTTCCCAATAAACATGATAATGAAGTACAACTGAACCTAGAAGAAATAGAGTCGCAGCGACTGGGAGTAACTACTAACCAGTTAGACCACAGTAGTACGCTTGAATAGGTTTTAATTCATACAACCTGACTGCTCAAATCACTTGCCCCAACTACTTGGATGAACGAGAGTTGCTTGGAATAAATAATAAAGCGAATTAACAATTTTGTATATCAAAAGACAGCTGAACACAGTGCTAATGTATTTATGACTTAAAACCAGCATAGTGTGTTGTGAATATGTCAACAGCGACAGAAGTGTGGTTTTTATTGAAAACTATCCTAGAATACTTCACCAAGTAGTTCCATTTTGTTCTGGAACTTGAATACTGAAGACATGGTTTGATCACAACAGTGCCACTACAAATACCATACAAACTTGATCTCGTTGTACATTGGTTGACCTGTTGAGAACTAAAAGGATTGTTTTTTTTTCCTGAGGTAAATTTCCTGATCTAATAGGAACCCGATGCATTTAATACTAATGAATTCGGAACTGAGGTTAGATCTATTAACTAGTTCATCGAGTATTCACCAATATTAAATTGTTTACTTAAAAATCCTAATCACATCCAACCAATCATATTTCCGATGTTTATTAAGTTAGGTAGGTACGAAGTTGAAGTCATATCCAGACCCATAAATTGGATTATGTATATATACATTAGCACAACATGAGTGAACATGTTACCTCAGAAATGCAAAAGCATATGAATTAACTCCAAAGTCTTCACTAAACCATTTGATTTTGTTTCATATTTCGTCAACCGGGATAATGATGAATTTGTAAAATAAGATTGTAAATATCGGGAATCCACAAAATGTTTGACATACATTTGATAAATGAATGAGCCATTCTCACCTTTTATTAATTTGAGCATTTATTCAAATAATTCATGCTCAACTTTATTTAACTTGATTATCTTTGTACGTATAAGATTCAAGTCTTGTTCTCATTCGTTTAGCACGATTGCATTCATTGTTGAAGGTTTAATTGGTGGGGAACTAATTCATACTCATCGTTGCAAACAACAGGACAAAATTGTTAGATTTAGATTCCATGCTAATTATTAAAACATCTTAAATGAGTTCATATCACTGTACCCATGTTCCGACCGAGAACCTTACCTTGCAACGTTTATATCATGAAATTTCTTTAATTTTATGTGTCCGACTGGAAAATTGGACGTATGATTGACGTTATTTAGTCTTCTTAAAGTAACTTTAAGGAAATTCTGTAGAATTTACAGATGTCTACACTTTTAATTTTAATAGTTGTAAAATGTCGTTTCAACTAAATTTATATGATCACAGGAATAAAAGCAATGGTTATTTTTAATTTACAAAGTGAATTTGTGTAGATTGTATGGGATTTTAAAACAACGTTCATCCTAAACTGACAATAACTGTGGAACTGTAGGAAAATAGCGAATAATATACACTAGTTTCAATATAATTTAGAACAACTCAATAGTATGTACTCAGGAACCTACAGTGAACTGAACTTAACTGTTTCACCTCTTGACAGATACTACACTACCAACCAGTTATTAAGTTGAAATCCATTGGTTTATGTATTCAAATTCAGTCATATTATAATCTACTGCCATATTTATTCAAGGATATTAGTGATTTATCACGTTATGGTTGACTTCACAGATCATGACTCGACCGTGCAGTTATTATTTATTTTGGTAGTTTTGTTTAAAATCTTGACTTTTAAAATGTTACATAGATATCATAAATAAGAATAAATTAACATTCTAAGATACACTGTACAACAAACTGAAATAAAAATATTCAAATAAACAATATTTAGTGGTTAAACAATTTTAAATTTTTAAATTATCTGCAATAAACTTACTTACGCCTGTTACTCCCAATGGAGCATAGGTCACCGACCAGCATTCTCCAGACCACTCTGTCCTGGACCTTGCTTTCTAGCTCTATCCCACTGTTGCTCATTCTTCTCATATATATCTCTATTTCTCGGTGTAATGTGTTCTTTAGTCTTCCTCTCTTCCGTTGGCCCAGAGGATTCCAAGTGAGGGCTTTTTTGTGATGCAGTCGGGTGCTTTCCTCAATGTGTGTCCTATACACTTCCAGAGCCTCTTATTGATTTCTTCCTCCGCTGAGATCTGGTTTGTTCTCTCCCATAATAAATTGAATCTGCAATAACCTATCTTATTATATTTAAAAGTTCGTAACACTTTGTTGATTAACATTAGAAACAAAGTATTTTTACTATGTTACAATTACGAGTATAATTTTTCCCAAATAATAGTATTGACAGGTAAACTATGATAGTTATAAATCATCTCACATTGATTAAGTTGACTAATCATTAATAAAAGGACTGTGTTTTGTAAACATATAGTACTTAAATCTAATACAAACACATGCTATCTAGTTCTTCTATATACATATTGATTAGCACAATAAATGTATTCATTTGCTATATGAGGATGGTAATCTGTTTCCCCTCATCCTGTTATCTATTCAAATAACTGGACTATTTTCAGACTAATATTTCGAAAGTTTTTATCAACAACGATATGGATATTCGGATTTCTCGTCCAATATTACATTAATGATAAGTATCAGCATTTTTTTTCTTGTTTTTCTGTAGCATATATCCATACTGTTATATATGGAAGAAAAATATCAGTTATCACAAATAAATGATTTTCTTTTCAAGTTTCTGGTCGATTAGGAATTGGAAGAAAAAGGCATCACCTTGATATGTTACTAAGTTTCCTACATTACGTGAATGCAGTCTTGAATAGGAATGGTACTCTATAAAAGTGCATAATTCCTTATTCATCTAGTTAATTTAGTGTAATATAATAATATATCATATTGTCTATGTGATACTGTAACATCTCAGTGCATTTAATAAAAAGAACTGATATAAACACATTGAAGTACACAGTTGTGATGTATAAAACAAGTTAGATTGGGTGCAGATTTTGAGAATGAATTCTTCTGTAGGAAATATCTGTCTCAGAAAGTCACAGACATAATGAATACTTCTGAAATTTCAATAGTTGAAATCATGAGTTAATTGAAATTGTTGAGAAAATTGCAAGCTCTAGTAAAGAGATTCGTAATAATTTCATGTGCTTTAACATTTAATGTTGACTTGTCATTTTCGAAATTTTAGTTAATCATCATAGTTGTATGTAAACAAATTTGTTTGATAAAATAAAAAATTTGACACCGAATTTACTCATGTGTAGTTGACCTAAGTGTCTAACTTCGAACATTTTTCTAATGTTGAATACAACTCATACATTATATAACCTTTCAACTGAATAAATGGTTAATATTTTCCTTACCTATTTATATGAAGGACAATCAACTGTGTAAGGATGTATGACAAAAGCGTTGTGTTTCAGTTCAAATCAGTGACCTTTAAAATTTCAGAATTTGTTCTGTATGAAATCAATTGTGATTTCATCTATATTATACGAGCTCGAATACCATGAGATGTAGTGGTTTTATGAAAGAAGCTGACTACAAAAGATATAATAATGTGAGACGTAATTTTTAGAATATTTTATTTGTCAGTCACATATTCAAATGAAATGTTTCTTGAAATATTCCTTCTAAAAATTAACTATTTTTGTTAAACCAGTTAAATAAAATATTTTCGCATAATTAAACAACTAAATTACTAATCTATCGATGGAAAGACTCACGAATTACAGTCAAACATTTTCTGTTCATGACCATTTATGAAGAAGCAATTAAGAAAACAAGTCATGCTATATTATGAGTTCGTTAAACTTTAAATTATCCATTCAGTAACTCTTTACAGTGTCTTAAAGTTCCTGATTAAACAACCACTGGATGCACCATCAGTCTATTGTGACAATTCGCTTTATATTCAAACGAAAAATACTTATTTACTACCACATCATATCCAGTGATTGTTTGATCAAGTTGTTGAACAAATGATGTGTCTCAAAATCGTTCAGTATTGACCAAATTGAGACGCGATATTTTAGCATTTATCTCAAACCATATAACATATAACTAAATCACTCAACTACTGAGTAAATCAAAACAGTCAATTCGTCATTTTCTTATTATTTGTCAGTAATGAATTCATTTTAACACTT